AAGCATTTGACTCTATCTCAATCCATTGAGAAGTTGCAGCACTTTGAAATCAATTTTGATGGAAAAAAAATCAACGCAAAATAGTGATTTTTGGCAATTTTGAAGATGTCCCCTCGTTGCCATGGTAACAGAAAATTTAAGCCTGAGCATGTTGTTGCAAGGACAATGTCCAGTCAACATTTGTGCCAAGTTTGATTAGTGTTGAAGCAGTTTTTATAGTATTATAGCAATTTGAACTTGTAACGGGAGACTTTTCAATGAAAACAGCCATTTTTCACAAAATGCTCATGAAGCAATGGGTTAATGAAAAAAATAAAAAAATCTACAAAACAACAATTTTTCTTCAAATTTATATGACAGGCCATGTTTAAACATGAAAAAAACGCGATTTAGGGTAATTTCAAGTATTTTCATCATTTTCTGTTAACCCATTACTTCATATACACGCCTTTTAACGCCTTTTTCACCCCCCCCCCCTTTTTGTTTTCTCAAATGATGAAAAAATGCCTTATTTAGGCCCCAAACACTTGTTTTTGTTTGAGAAATGTTGTTAAAAAAAGTGACCCTTTTTTTCGGCGCGGCCCCCCAACCAAAAGATACATCAGGGGGTTGCCAGAAGGGGGATGTGCCCCCTTCTGTTTGGGGGGGTTTGAAGGGGGGCGGAGTCCCCCTCATCGCCAAGAAAATTTTGGACTTGTGAGAGGCTGTAAATGACCCCAGATTGATCATAAGGTAACGTGTAACCAACGCTGAAAAGCATTTGACTCTATCTCAATCCATTGAGAAGTTGCAGCACTTTGAAATCAATTTTGATGGAAAAAAATCAACGCAAAATAGTGATTTTTGGCAATTTTGAGATGTCCCCTCGTTGCATGGTAACAGAAAATTTAAGCCTGAGCATGTTGTTGCAAGGACAATGGTCCAGTCAACATTTGTGCCAAGTTTGATTAGTGTTGAAGCAGTTTTATAGTATTATAGCAATTTGAACTTGTAACGGGAGACTTTTCAATTGAAAACAGCCATTTTTTACAAAATGCTCATGAAGCAATGGGTTAATGAAAAAAATAAAAAAATCTACAAAACAACAATTTTTCTTCAAATTTATATGACAGGCCATGTTTAAACATGAAAAAACGCGATTTAGGGTAATTTCAAGTATTTTCATCATTTTCTGTTAACCCATTACTTCATATACACGCCTTTTAACGCCTTTTTCACCCCCCCCCCCTTTTTGTTGTCTCAAATGATGAAAAAATGCCTTATTTAGGCCCCAAACACTTGTTTTTGTTTGAGAAATGTTGTTAAAAAAGTGACCCTTTTTTCGGCGCGGCCCCCCAACCAAAAGATACATCAGGGGGTTGCCAGAAGGGGGATGTGCCCCCTTCTGTTTGGGGGGTTTGAAGGGGGGCGGAGTCCCCTCATCGCCAAGAAAATTTTGGACTTGTGAGAGGCTGTAAATGACCCCAGATTGATCATAAGGTAACGTGTAACCAACGCTGAAAAGCATTTGACTCTATCTCAATCCATTGAGAAGTTGCAGCACTTTGAAAATCAATTTTGATGGAAAAAATCAACGCAAAATAGTGATTTTTGGCAATTTTGAGATGTCCCCTCGTTGCCATGGTAACAGAAAATTTAAGCCTGAGCATGTTGTTGCAAGGACAATGGTCCAGTCAACATTTGTGCCAAGTTTGATTAGTGTTGAAGCAGTTTTTATAGTATTATAGCAATTTGAACTTGTAACGGGAGACTTTTCAATGAAAACAGCCATTTTTCACAAAATGCTCATGAAGCAATGGGTTAAGCAGTTTTTTTTTTCTTGTTTTTTTTTTTTTTTTTTTTTTTTTTTTTGCATTTTTTTTTTGTTTTTTGTTTTTTGTTGTTGTTGTTTTTTGTCATATTGTGTAACTGTTCAGCTTATAAGAACAGTATTTACATTTCGAACTTGCTTTTTAGTGCATTATTAAAATGAGTTTGTTGCCGAATATGTACTGTAGTCATTTTGCTCTTTTTTTAACAATATTGATTCATTTTTTCCGCTTGAAAAAGTCACTTTCGTTCGAATACGCATCATTATATCACTCGGGCTACGCCCTCGTGAGATGTTTGCTTAATATGCATGGTGTTATTAATTGTTCTAAAATTAAGTGATAAAGAACTACTTTCTTTCAGTCAAAATACCTATTTACCTATAAAAAGATGATGGCCTATTTAGCTGAATTGCCTAAATGAAGGCAAAATATGAAGGGAAAACAAAGGTTACTTTGCACTAGGCTTTCAACTCACTCTTTACCGAAACTCTGTGTTCTCAGTGAAAATGAACACACTTTCAGATAGAATTTTGCATTAAGCATTTATAGTACTTTTAAATTCATTATTTTTTTTTATTAAATGTTCGCTTATTCTTAGCGGGACCTCTGAATTTTTCTGTTATTTTCTCAGCTGTTATCGCGGCAGTAGCAGTATCAGAAGCAGCAACAAGTACAACAGCAACATCAACAACACGTATACGCAAATGTAATATGACGTTGACTTTACAGATTATGTTAGGTGGGGGTCAATATTTTATAGATAATATAGGGGTCATTATTTAATATACAAGGAGGTCACTATTTTATATTTAAAATAATGACCGGGGGTCATTATTCTATGGGGGTCATTTTACAACGTTACACCGGCAAAATCTTATTTTGAATTGCTTGTCCGTTTTTATGTCAAGCATTTTTTAACTTATTTGTCCGTATGATGTTTAAATAGTTAATTCTTGAAAATTTTCACATGTCCGTACAGGCTGTGGGACAACCTGGGCATTTGATTTTGCCGACCCTGTGGTGTCGTTACATCGGATTATTTTCTTCGCTTAATTCATTGTCATAGGTCTATTTTGGTTAATTTCAGTGTCAATTAATAAGTTATTAGATTCTTGTTTTATTTTCTGCTAGATTGTATTCGCTCTTTTTTCATTGTAAATACAGATAGATCTAATTATGAAATGTCTAAATATTAAGCTGATCTTCCTCAAACATTTTTAAGTCATCTGAACATTTGTCACCATTTATATTGATTATGTTGATCCAGATACAGTACCGATTTTGATTTCTCACTGATATAAATTCTATTGCCTTTTTTTTTTTGGTTAAAATTATCTGCAATATTCCTTTCATATTTGAGCCACGTCATGACAAAACCAAAATAGTGCGTTTGCGGCCAGCATGGATTCAGACCAGCCTGTGCATCCGCGCAGTCTGATCAGGATCCATGCTGTTCGCTATCAGTATCTCTACTTGTAATAGGGTAAGTAAGCCAACAGCATGGATCCTGATCAGACTGCGCGGTGGTCTGGACCCATGCTGGTCGCAAACCCCTTATGTCAAGGGGGTTAATCCATGCGCGCGCATCCTTAAAGTTCTGATACCACGGACACCTCATCGGCCGGTATTTCGAAGAAAAACGCGTGGTGTGAAGAAATCAGAAAAGGTATGAATTTAATTTGTTTTGCAAAGAAGATGTCCTAACTTCTAGTTTTTATATAGAATCTACAAAATGTCTCTTTCCGCATTTACATTCGTACTTGCGTTCAGAGGAATGACGCTGCATGTGTGTTTGGTAAAAGCCTCTTGACTACATATATCACATTTGTAGGGACCATATTGTCGATGTCGTGCCTCATACTGTCTGAGAGAAGATTCATTGGCAAAGAATTCACCACAAAATCGACACACATTCATTTTCTGAAATAACTGTAAGAAGTAATTTATTTTGAAATGTAGAGTATAAAAACATTATCAAGATAGACAATTATTCACCAGGTTTTAAATAAATACCTAAACAAATTGCATAAATAAATGTTAATTCTAAACAATTTCTAGGATGTAGATTTTAAATAATTCTTCAAATGGGACACCCATGCAATCTAAACCTTAGACTGCTTCAAATAAAATGTACTTTTTATCAATTGCATAGTTATGTGTACGCAGTATCTGGATTTTTTTAGAGAGTACGCAATATCATAATCTCCGTTTCCTGTAAATAGTGCGTTTATATACTTTTGTAGTACAAATGAATTGGAACGAAGGTTGAAAAATATTATGGAAAAGGATTCTACCACAGAATAACTTCCAGCCGCTTAAAACGGCCAATTTAATTGACATTTGCTTATTTTCTGTAACATTTCAACGCCGGGTTTACGCACTATCCAGCAAACTCCTCACAGCGGTTACGTCACGCATTGCTACTTTAACCACTGCCACCACTGAAATCACGTGATGATAGTTGTATCATGTGACAAAAACATGGCGGCCAGTTTCATAACGCCAAGGATCCCATATCAAACTGGCAGATTTATAATTACATCCTTAACAGACAAAATAACTTCAAGACACACAATTTGTTATCACTTTAAAACAAGTGCCGGATCAAATCTTTGTGTGCAATCGTTCAATAACTGTTTATATTCTGCCATTGTTTACTATGCATACGGTGTCACAGTGAAAATATCTTTCGTTATGTTTACAAAATAATTTTTATACGTATAATTTTTTACTTTCTTGTACATTAAGCATAACTATTTAACGAAAGAAAACTAAAATGATATAAAGTATTCTATTTTAAAATTAAAAGTGAAAAAAATATATCCGGCTATATTCGACCGAATTTACTTGTGGTGGCAGTGGTTACTGTACAGATCAGGGGAAGTAACCGCTGCGAGGAGTTTGACTATCCAGAATCAAAATCGCATTCAACGCGAAATACAAATGTACTGACAAAACAGGAAAGAGTTACTTCAAGACATTTTGTATATAAAAACTAGAAGTTAGGACATCTTCTTTGCAAAACAAATTAAATTTAATTCATACCTTTTCTGATTTCTTCACACCACTCATTTTCTTTGTGTTCGCGGTATCAGAACTTTAAGGATGCGCGCGCATGGATGTTGGTTTTGTCATGACACGGCTCATTTATAAAATTTTGAACGCTTCAGAAAAACACCATCCTCCGTGTAATAGTAGTCTGGATTAGATCTACCTGTCTTTTTCTCCTCGTTCAATATAGTACTAAATTGTATAGTACGACGGGAACCAGACTACGTGTAATAGTTCCTACCCGTGACGTCATCGAAGCATTGGAGGCCAAAAGACAAAATGGAGGCAAGCACATTTCATTTTCGATAGTTTAAATATTTTATTGATTTATTTTTTAATAATTGAATTACTTGTTTCATATTAACAATTAAATGATATTTGTATTCAATACAGTAACACTGGTATCTGAATGCTTATATCAAAGAGTATTTTGAAATTTATAATTCGAAGTTTGAAATTTATAATTCGAAGTTTGAACTTTGCCGCGCCAGGACTTTGCCGCGTCAGCGTGTGTCATAAAGATACGATAAGATAAGATAATCTTTATTTATAGTCGGTTTCATAAAAACATATAAACATTAGCTATATAAGCTATTTTCCGACATAACTGACTATCCTAGGCTATAACAATTCAAACAAACAATCTGAATAAAAGAAAATACTGGTTGGAGAGATAACTCCGACACTAAATCACATATTTTTTGCAATATTTTAATTATCTTCCAGTATATTTTAAATATTGAACCACCTAAACAAAGTTCAGTTCAAAGACTTTACATTACACCACAAAAACAATGTATGAAAATGGAATCTGGTACTTCTTTAAGGTCTTGAATGAGGTATACAAAACATGGTCTTTTTACCCAACAACAGTAGTAAAGTCGACACTTAATATTTAAGTAAAAAATGGCTGGAAAATCAGCATCAATAATTTATTTTTACATCTTATATGGTTTATCTATTTTTGTATATATTTAAAACAAATTTTTCAAAAATCTTTCCCAAGTCAGTGGCCTGTGGTCAATACGTTTCTACTACCTTACTGTAATTTAGTAAAAAACGTTTGAAGCAGTTTTTTGCTTACAAATGTTTAGGTTATTTGAAAAACATTAAAAAGTCTACCAAATTATAACAAATCATCACATTCTGTCCTGTTCCTATACTGTTAGGTGATCATGTGCTTATTTGTTGAAAAACAAAGCTAAAACAATTATATTTATCAAGTGTCGGGGTTATCTATGCGTCGGAGTTATCTCTCCGACCAGTAGAAATCTATATAAGGGGGCAGGGGACCTAAAAATGAACAATTTTGTATTTCATGACCAGAAACACAATTCCAAATATTTCAAAATCTGTTTCACAGGCAGATAACCAGTTTGCACAAGCATTATTCAATGATATATGACATACATTGAAGAAAATAATAGTTTTGCATGCATTGCTCCTTCAAAAAAATGACTGACAGCAATTTATATTTACCCCACCCAGCCAAATCACACCTAAAATATACCAATATGGGCAATCTTCATGAAGGTGAGCAACTCCAGAATCCGCCCGAATTCCTTTAAAAATATCAGTAACACGCAGTGCAAGCTAATGGCATTTTTCAGAAATGACCAATAAAGTGTCTGTCATACGTTTAGATTTTTTCACAAAATTTATCTGAAATTTCTTACTTGTTTGGCGCCAACTGTCAAAGCTTGATTTTTAACTTTTTTCACCTCCATTCGGAGAGTCAGAAATAATATAAAGCTAACCAAAATGCTTAGTTTCGGGTAAAAAACCCAAAAATACTTCTCATTTCCTACACACAAACAAGAAAGAATTACAATGACAGAGAAATATCAGAAGTTATCAGTACCTTCAAAACACCATGTCTGAGTTATAAAAAAATTTGACCGGGGCCATCATTCGAATATGTCCCCTGCCCCCTAAAAGTATTAAGAAGATCAATGTACATTTATGAAAGACTCTGTAAAACAGTTAAGATTTATCAGCACATATAAATATGGGTAAGAAAGCATTAAATGATTAAAAGCAAATATAACACTACAATCAAACATCACATAAAATTACATCATACAAGAATTCTATTTATGAAATTATGTACACAACCCTAAAATCAGAAATAGAATTAGATTTTTTTTTTTTTTTAATTTAAATTTTTAAAATAAATTAAAGTAAATGATTCAATTTTATTTTATTTAAATTATAATATAGTTGACCTGATTTCCAGTATGATGCTTGAGCATAAAGCAGTAGCAGCATCTGATATATACTCAGTCATGAAAATATGGGTGTAACTAAAACATGTACAAGTATCATAAAAAACTTGATATGTTTGTGTAACAGTTGCTGATCTGAGCTGGCCTAGATAAATTCATGGTCCAAGTTAATTAATTGATTAATTAGAACCAAAATAAAATAAAAGTAGAAATAAAAAGGTAAAAAATAGACTTTAAGTACAGTGTTTGAAATTAGCAGTAGTCCTATAGCCCCTGTCTACTAAATTTCTCCTTGGGCTACCAACTTTTCAAAGTAACAAGCCCGGCCAGGCTACTGTATTTTCAGAGGCAATATAATTAACAGTTTTGAACAAATGAATCGTGCTAGTGAAATGTCTTTTGGGCTAGTAAATATTCCAATCTGGTAGTCCGACCAGCCTAGTGGTTTCAAATCCGAATTTCTTACACTGTAAGTAGCTATTGACCCCTTTATGGGATATATGAAAAGCTGATCAGCAGCTGCCATGTTGTTTCTTTCTTTTCATGATTTAAAAAAAGATAAGTATAGGTTATAGGTTATATACAGAGTTTTAAGAAATTAATTTTCGAGTGAACGAAGTGAAGCGAGAAAATTAGTTTCTTAAAACTCTGTATAGATCTATAACCGACTTACATTTAGCCCCGCCTATTCAAATCGTGTGCACTATGTAAATAGGCGAGGTCCATTAAATCGGCTCATTCAACGTATTTAATACATACAGTTGAGTTACAGCACTGTATGGAAAATACTTCGGCAAAATTTAAACAAAATGGAGCAATTTTGGAGCAATTTCATTGGTAGACAAACTTTGACGAACTGTAAGAAAAAAACTAGATCTCTGACCACTTAAACTTGATTTTTGATATCATGTTTTGTACTTTCAGAAGTTTATGTGGAATTTGGCAGTTCTTGTGTGTTTGGCTTTATTTGGGCTCAGAGATGCTTGGGCAGCAGGTAAAATAACCAGATCCTGGTGTTATCAGTGTTTTTTCTTAATATAACTACTACCAAAAAAGGTACTGTTCCCAACTGAAAAAAGGCATGAAAATTCCTAATTTCTAATGTAAAATTCCCAAAAATGACTGTTCAAAATTCCCCACAAGACCATGAGATTTCTAAATCATTAAAAATCTAAACATTTTTATATAAATCACCACTCAATTATTAAAGTTTCTACCTGGACAGTGGAAACCTGCTAGCTGTCTTTATTCAATATGACTAATCTTATTTGTGGCTGTAAAGTTGTTTAATCTTTCCCTTATATAAGCGTGTTTTGACGGCTTTTTGACCCCCCCCCTTTTTTTTTGAGGCCTGAAACAGTGAAAAAAATGCCCTATTTAGGCCCCAAACACTGTTTTTCGTTTGAGAAATGTTGTTTAAAAAAAGTGACCACTTTTTCGGCACCGTCCCCTATCCAAATGTTACATTAGGGGGTTGCCAGAAGGGGGATGTGCCCCCTTCTGTTTGAAGGGGAGGGGGTAGTCCCCCTCATCGCCAAGAAAATTTTGGACATGTGACAGGCTCAAAATGGCCTCAGGTTGATCTTAGGGTAACTAGTAAGCGACGCTGAAAAGCCCTTTACTCTATCTCAATTCATTGAGAAGTTGCAGCACTTTGAAATCAGTTTTGATGAAAAAAACAATGCAAAATAGTGATTTTTGGCAATTTTGAGACCTACTCCCGTTGCCATGGTAACAGGAAATTTAAGATTGAGCATGCTGTTACTGAGGCTATGGTCTAGTCGACATTTGTGCCAAGTTTCATCAGCATTGAAGCATTTTTCATAGTTTCATAGCAGTTTGAGTTTGTTACAGGAGGCTTTTCATAAAAATGGCCATTTTTTGCAATATGCTCATGGGGTAAAAGGTTATTAAAAATTCCCAGTTTGAGTCAAACTAAGGCTTTTTTCCCCCCAATCAGTCTGGTACCGGCACCATTCCCAAAGAAGAGGAAAAAACACTGGTTATTCTACCGTTTAAACAATTTTTATCAAGCCTTAAGTTAACTATAAAGTAAGTGTGTAGCATATTTGTATGGAGCAGAATTTGGGTATTTATTCGCTGTTTATCTTTCAATTTCTATTTATCTAATTTATATTCATATTCATTAAATTCTTATCTATAATCATATAAATTTAAATTGATTTAAACAAGTGTAATTGCTACTTTTTAATTGACAGTTAAATATTTGTATTTTGATACTGCAGAATGTAAGGATCAATTGTTTCTACTTCTTGTTTAAGCTGCAGTAGAACTTCGGAAAGTCAAATTTGAAGGGACTTGCGTAAAAACTTCAACACATCGGGACTTAGACTCATGAATTGCTCTCAATTCCATGACAAAATTTCGACCCGTGACTAGTTCTAATTAGAAGATCTATAACGAAACCTATTTCATGTTTTTTCCATCATTAATCTGATATTTTACATTTTACTATGATAAACATAGCATGTTAAATAACTTTTTTTCACGGCTAATTATTTGGACTACCTGTTGATGTATACAATAGAGTTACAAAAGGTGTAACAATACGAAAGGGCGATATCTAAACCAGCTTATAGTAAATATTTCGCGTATTGTTCTCACGCGACACCGGGTTACCGATGTTTTCAAATGAAAGTAGTTCTTACTGTTTACTTTCAAATACCACTATGGCAATTAAAATAGAAACGATTGAAGCATTTTATCACACCTTTATCTCAAACAAAGGCTGTTTGAACACACGGCTGTGTATTTAACACCTGTCACACAAGTTGATTGAAAATCGTCTTCGCAGCCAGATAAGGTGTGAAAAATGTCTCGAGATCGAAGGTGTCAAAATAATCGAACGACTTCGACTTATTTGTGGTAAATTGCTCTAGATTTACTTGATACGGACCACGAAAAAATGTCGACACATCAAAAAATTCGACACATTAAATCTCGACTCATAAATAGGTTTTTATAAGGAATATATATAGGGAAAAAAATCGGGACTTTCATTTTTCTTTGACACATCAAGAAAATCAACTAATCGAAGTTTGACTCATAGAAGTTCTACTGTACATGATTAGATATCAGGCCTGTTAGATATTGTTGCATACTTCTTCCTTTTCAATTTTTAACTTATGATCTTGAACATCCATTCTTTTAAGAATACAAAGTGGGTTATTGCATAACACTGAAATAAAATCTATACGAATGCACCTAGATGAATACGAACTGCAATAACACAAATACGAAATTACATTTGAAATTTAAATTTATAAATCTGGCCGGGAACCAATATTTCCATACAAGTCCATAATTTCTGACGGTGTAACTGTTGAAATATTCTCTTAATAAAAAATCCCCGAAAATCCCCCCCCCCCCCCCCCCCCCCTGTAAAATGACTTGCTTTTACCATGCATATGCTGTTTAAAAGCAATGTTTACAAAAAATGGCGGCCCTGACATCTATAAATCAACAGCATATGGTTTTTCTGGCCATGTTTTGGAATTTGCCAGTGATCATATTAGATGTCACAAAAACAAATTTCATGCTGAAAATGCACTTTAAAGACAACTAGTCATTTAACCTTTTCCCTTATATAGACGTCAGTGTTCGAAATTAGCAGTAGTCCTATAGCCCCCGACTACTAAATTTCTCCTTGGGCTACCAACTTTTCACAGTAACAACTTAACAAGCCCGACCAGGCTACTGTATTTTCAGAGGCAATATAAACAATTGTTTTGAACAAATGAATCGTGCTAGTGAAATGTATTTTGGGCTAGTGAATATTCCAAATTGGTAGTCCGACCAGTCTAGTGGATTCAAATCCTAATTTCTTACACTGAGACGTGTTTTGACAGCTTTTTGCCCCCCCCCCCCTTTATAGCCTCACACAGTGAAAAAATGCCCTATTTAGGCCCTAACACTGTTTTTTTTTTCATTTGAGAAATGTTGTTAAAAAAGTGACCACTTTTTTTGCGCGGCCCCCCATCAAATTAGAACATCAGGGGGTTGCCAGAATGCCAGAAGGGGGATGTGTCCCTTCTGTTCGGGGGTTTGGAGGAGGCGATACTCCTAGTCCTCCTCATCGCCAAGAAAATTTTGGGCATGTGACAGGCTAAAAAGGCCTCGGGTCGATTTCAGGGTAAATAGTAACCGACACTGAAAAGCCTCTAAAAAACTCTATCTTAATTCATTGAGAAGTTGCAGCACTTTGAAATCAGTTTTGATGAAATAAAAACACTGCAAAATAGTGATTTTTCGCAATTTTGAGACGTCCCCACGTTGCCATGTTAACAGAAAAATTACGGTTGAGTATGCTGTTACAGAGGGTCCAGTCAACATTTGTGCCAAGTTTCATCAGTATTGAAGCATTTTTCATAGTTTCATAGCAGTTTGAACTTGTAACAGGAGGCTTTTCAATGAAAACGGCCATTTTTCACAATTATGCTCATTGGGTTAAAGGTTAAATCCAGAATATTTACTGTATCCAAGAAATCCTCCCTGGCCATTCGAAGGTGTGGCTTACATTACTGGGGTGTGCTACCTATAAACTGGGATTAAATCGCCGCATAGCATTATATCCTCACACCTTGAGCTCACCGAAAATACCGAAGCGATACATGAGTTATCCCCCGTCACTAAGATTTTGCGCTAGAATTTTAGGTCTGGTACCAGCTAGGACACAAAAAGCAAATATTAATCACGTGGTTTCTAGTTTTTATTTGTTCTGCTGTTCTTCTTATTGAAATGAGTCAGTTTTATTTCGCTAAAGGTTGTTTAATGTTAATAATTTCATAAAGTTAGAATATGGATAAATCTCACAATTCTTATAGCCTCTACATACAAATTTATTTCCAGTGTGAATCAAATGGGAATAAGAGTTGCACAAATACATTTGCAAGAAACTAGTTCAACTGAACGCACTTTCTTTTAAATAGGTATAAATAGCACATGTTTAAAACAAAAAGTAATTTATTAATTTGGTATTTAATATTAAATTAAACGAATTAAGATAAAGTACTGGCATTGGCTTTAGAATATTACAATTACTATAAACATAGTAAGAAAGAATAAATAAATATTTAAGTAAAGAACTTAGGTTCACCCACAGATGGAATATGATTTAAACTTAAGCAAATGAAAACAACAATTAGTCAAATGAATAAATACCTAAATTCTGCTCCATATATTTGAACCACCATGAAATCTCAGCTGGCCTACCTGGCATAATAAAGCCCCACATTTACAGTCAATGAATTTAAGATTTTGAATTTACTAGCCAGAATTCCAGTTTTGAATTTATTCTACTCAGTGAATTTTTTCCAATTTTCAAAACAACCTGTGGCTTTCTGAAGGGGAAAATATAGGGCGATAAATCAGAAAAGGGGGAAAACCTGAAATTTAATTCAAACAACTGAAAATGGAATTTATCCACACATTTTACAGTTTTATGAAAAACATTAAGCATGTGTAGCCAAGGGTCGCCGGCAGGGCCTTCGCTTTGGGGTCGTGTGGGGAATTGAACTCGCTGGCGTAGTGAGCGCCCTACACGGAAACCCTCGGTTGGTTGGTGTGTGTGGGATACTGGTATTATTATTATCCAGTATCCTCTTTGTTATGATTGTATTTTATAACACGAAAGTCCAGTGTTGATGTTATTTCATTTATTTCTTTATAGTAATTGAAGTTCTCAAATATAAAATGATAGTATAGTCCACATACATATATTTTCACAGCTAGCACCTGAATTTTGCTTAAGTTAATTTTACTTATTTATTTTCTAAGATAAAACTAGATGTTATATGTCCGAAATTCTATATAAGACTTTAAGATGTTGTATGTTCCCAAATTAAAATAAGACTAATTTAAAATATAAAAATCAACAACATAAATTGAGAAAGAGTTGTCATTGTGATTAAGCCTTTAGCTATATTAGCAATAAATGTCAAAAGATAATTAAGTATGGCTTGTTTGATAAAAGAC